GCCAGCATCCCCTGATCAACAGATCGCTGGAGATGCCTACTCCTGCAACTCCTCCTTTGATGCTGGTCCTCCTCCCCTGCCCCTCCTTCTCCTCCTCCCCCCCCTGCTCCTCCCCATCCTGCCCTTCCTCCTCCTGGACGCGGGGTCCTGGGGCCGCACTCGCGGGGCCGAGGAGGGGTCCAGGGATCGTGGGGGATTCCAGGGGCCGAAGTTGGGTCTACAAGCGTCAACGCGGGTCCCCGGAGCCAGGGGTCCAAAACCCAGGGTCAAGAATCCGTCAAGGGCGGACGAGAAGGAGGAGGACGACGAGGAGGAGGAGGAGGAAGAGGAAGAGGCCAGGGAGGAGACGAAGGCGAACGAGGACGAGGGCGAACACGAAGACAAAGGGCGAGGAGGAGGCCGACAACGATGACGAGCAGGGGGGAAGTCCGGGCAGTTCTCTGTTGGGCCTCGGGTTTCGTTCCCCACTCCCTGGGGTGGATTCACCGCTCCGGTTCGGTCTGTAGGTCTGATTCGGCCCCATTCGGTCCATGAGCGATTCTGGTTCGGTTCGGTTCGGGTCTTTACCGCGACCATTCTGGTTCGATTCGATTCGTCTTGGAGGGGACGCTGTTTCGCGGTCGTTCGAATCAGACTGGTCCAGTCCAGGCAGTGCTGGAACCGTCCTGCAATGAAGCAGTGCGACGGAGTTACGCCAGGAAGGTGGCAGAACAGTACGAGATTTCCAAGGCTCCAGGAGGGTTGGCCGTCAGGACACTCTGGAACGAGATCCGCTGTCGATGGCACTGCTTGCCATGGCATCCTTTGGGGCCATGGTGCCGTGACTAGAACCTAAGCGCGCGCGTAGCGCGCGCGTGGTTCTAATGTGTATATATATATATACACATGCATGTACATGCTTATTCACATGAATATGTAAATGCACATGCAACTGTGTGTACATATACATGTTTGTGCATGCATATGGATATGCATTCGCATCCGCATGATCATATGTACTCGCACGTAGTTAGATATATGCATGTGTATGGCTACTTGTATGCACATTTAAGTATAAATGTGTGTATGTGTGTATAGATGTATGTATAGTTATGTTCGTGTGTATGTGTATGCATGTTAGATAGGTGTAGGTGTATGTATACGTTTGTGGATGTTTATGTATGAGAGAGCGTGATCCACCGCCGCTTTACTGTGGAAAATTGCCAACCCTCCGGAACCCGGGGGTCTCCCCCCCCCCCTCCGAAAATCCCCCCCCCCCCTGCCGGAACCCCTCCCCTCCCCCCGGCAAAACCCCCCCTCCCCTAACCTCCCCCTCCCCTAACCCCTCCCCCCCCCCTCCCCCTCGAAAACCGGGGGGGGGTCACTACCGGTTCGAACTCCTCCACCCCCCCCCCTCCGGATCCGGAAAACCGGGGGGGGTCACTACCGGTTGGAACCCCCCCCCCCCTCGAAAACCGGAGGGGCGTCACTGCCGGTTCGACCCCCCCCCCACGCACCGCCAGCAAACGACTCCCGGTCCCTACCACCGCTCGCATCACATCCCCCACTATTGTTCCCAGCACCACTGTCCTCACCACCACTGTCCCCACTGGTTCCACCACCGTCCCTATTGTCCACACCAGTGCCCCCGCCACTGTCGCACTGTCCCCACTGTTCCCACCACTGTTCCCACCACGGTTCCACTCTCCCCACTGTCTCCACGGACCCAACCACTGCCTATCCCCATTGTCCCCACTGTCCCACTGACTCCTCCGCTGTCCCACTGAGCTGTCCCACTGTTTCCACCACTGTCCCCACTGTCCCCACCACTGTCCCCACTGTACCTCTGTCCCATTGTCCCACCGCCGTCCTCGCCACCGCCTTTACCAGTGTCTCCACCACCATTGTACCCTCCACTGTCCCAGTGTTTCCACCTCATTCCCACTGTCCCCACACCACTGTCCCCACCACCACCGTTCCCACCACTGTCCACTGTCCCCCCTGTTCCCACCATTGTCCCCACCACTGTCCCCACCACTACCGTCCCCACCACTGTCCCACTGTCCCCCCACTGTCCCCACCACTGTCCCGCTGTCCCCTCACCACTGTCCCCACCAACACCGTCCCCACCACTGTCCGCACCCCCACTCGGTTTTCGAGGGGGGGGGGGTTCGAACCGTAGTGACCCCCCCCCTTTTCATGATGAGCTGGGGGGGGGGGGGGTCGTGAGGTCTCGGGTCTCGGGGTTTCGACCGTAGGGGGGGGGGGGGGGGGGGGGGGGGAGGGGTTCGAACCGGTAGTGACCCCCCCCGGTTTTCCGCCAGCAGCGGTAGAACACGCTCTTTCTTATGTATACGAGCACATGTATATGTATGTATATGTATGTGTATGTGTATGTGTATGTATATGTATGCATGTATATGTATATGCGTAGATGTATATGTATACGAATGTTATGTAGGTGTGTATGTGTGTATGTGTATGTGTATATGAATGTGTATGCATGTACGGATGCGTATGCCACTATGGATGCCAATGTTTGCGCCTTTGTACTTGTGCATGCCTACGTATACGTAGTTGTATGTGTGCATGTACATGTATGTGTATACGTAGATGACAGGTCGCACGCAACTGTAACTGTATATGCCCAGGTTTATGTATATGTATTTGTACAGGTATATGTGTATGTATACCTACAGTTCCAGGTGTGTGCATATGTATGTGCATATGTATATGTATGTGTATACATATAGACATGTGTATAGGTAGGTACGTATATAGGTCGGTACATGCATACATGTATATGGACACATATACATATATATATATATGTATGAAGATGTATACGCATTTCCATGTATGTGTCTGCGCATAAACATTCATATATCTATATATATATATAGAGATAGAGATATACAGATGTATGAATGTTCGTGGCGTGTTTCAAGGACAGATGAGACGGGAATGGAGACAGCCTTTGAGGTCAGGCAGGTGGGCCCTTGTCCGCGGCCGTGACCTTGTCGACGTTTTCTCCCCACCTCGCCGCGTGATGCACGTGTGAGCAGTGAGAGGGGGAGGGGAAGGACCAGGAGCGGAAGAGGAGGACGAGGAGGAGGAGGAGGGGAAGGGCCAGGAAAGATGAGCAGGAGGGAGTAGGATGAGGAGGCGGAGGAGGAGGAGAAGACGAGGACGAAAACGAGAAGAACGACGATGATGAGGAAGTCTCGAAGGAAGTCCCCCCACAAGGGGTGAAGATGGCGCTCAAGATTCTCAGCGAGTATTACAGCAAGGAGGGCGGCGGCCACACTGCGGCTTCTGGAGCTGGCAGCAGCATCATAGGACTCCTCGAGGCGGCCCGGGCCGGCAACGGGGGCATCTAACGGGAGAGAGGGACGATTCTGATGGTGATAAGGATGATGACGACGACGACGATGATGATGATGCTGATGATGATGACGATGATGATGATGATGATGATGATGATGATGATGATGGTGGTAGTGATGGTGATGGCGATCGTGATGATAGTGCTGATGGTGATGATGCTGCTGATGATGATGATGAGGATGATGAGGATGATGATGATGATGATGTCGATGGTGGTGGTGGTGGTGATGATTCTGATGATGAGGATGAGGATGGTGATGGTACCATCATCGCCATCATCACGAACACACCCATCATCAACAACATCATCATCATCACCATCGTCATCAGCATCAGCATCGTCATCAGCATCATCAGCGTCATCAACATTAACATCATCATCACCATCACCATCCATCAGCATCGTCGTCAACACCATTAGCATCCTCAGCAGTTTCATCACCCATCAGCATCAGCGCCATCCATCATGCGTCGTTCATCATCCATCACCTTCACCATCCATCATCAGCATCATAATCATCCTAATCATCAGCATTATCGTCATCATCATAGCATCAGCGTCATCATCATTGGCAGCATCATCATCAACATCAACACCAACATCAACATCGGACAAGAAATCCGCACGCCCCTTCGAACGTCTACGTACAGTGGGGGCCCATGCCAAGCAGCACCCTGCTTGCCTCCAGGGTGCCCTGGGTTTCCTGGGTTTCGATGGTCTTGCCATGGAACGCGCGACGTTCCCACATGCAAAAATCGAGGGACGCCCTGGGGTCTCAGGGTTGGGTTTCTCTGGAAGGCTTTCTTGTGGTCAGGCCCCCATTGCATGTGCACTTCTCGCCGGGGGCAGCGTTCGGGGGGGGGATCGGCTCAGGGGGGGACGCACCGACCCCCAGATCGCCCCTTGATCTCTGACAGGGGCCCGATAGCCCGCCCCACCCAGGCACGCGCGGTTTCGCTGTCGACGCCCGTCGGCTATCTATCGGCGGCGCATCGCCGATTCCAGGTCGATGCTCTCCCTTTGGGCCAGTCCCCTCCTACCACTGCCTGCTTCTGCTGCTGCTCCTCCTCCTCTTCCTGCTGGTGCTATTCCTCCTGCTTCTGCGTCTGCGTCTGCTCCCCCTCCTCCTCCTCAACCTTCTCCTTCCCCTCCACCTCCTCATCATCCTCCTCCCCTGCTCCTCCTTCTCTTCCTCTTGGGCGCCACTCTACCGCTAGTCCCCAGACCTCTCCTGGGGCGCGTTCTGGCAAGGATTTCGGGGCGAAGCCAGTGGTGACAACGAGGGCCTCCCTGTGGTTGGGTTCCTTGTGGACGGCTCCTTGTGGACGGTTTCTTGCGATCGGGCCTCCAGATTTTGTTCGCCGCTCGTGAGTATCCTCTCCTCTTCCTTCTCTTCCTCTTCCACCTCCTCCACCTCTTCCTCCAGCTCCTCCTCATCCATTTCCTCCTCCTCCTCCTCCTCCTGTTCCTCTTCCTCTTCCTCTTCCTCTTAAGCACAGATTGGATCGGACGCGTCATTTTGTTGCGGTCTCGCGCCAAGGCCTCTCACTTCCCCGCAGTGAATGAGGGCCAGCGAACCACCAGCACTCTGTTAATGCAGCTGGCGCTCTCGCTGTCCAAGAGAGGTTCAGCCATGGGGGCCACGCCGCATCGAGTGTGGTCCACCTGCATGTCGTGCGGGGCTCACGAATACAATGGCGTCTTGCAGGTGAATAGCTGCAAGTGCTGGACATGTGGGCGCCACGTGAGAATCCACAAGGCGAGGCCGCCGAAGGGAGACGATTCCGCGCTCGTCGACACCAGCGCCAACCAGCCCACGGCCGAAGGACTCTTAGCACAGGCAGCGAAGATGACCAACGAACCCGCGCTGAAGCAGGTGTTGCACGAGCAGGTGAAGGAAAGCGGGTGTTGCATGAGCAGGTGAAGAAAGACCCTTCCCCAGCGCAGCTCAGCCATCGGTGACTGCGGCAGAGGCGGCGCGCAGGGCCGAGGGTGTTTGGAGGCAGGCTTCCTTTCAGTTCGAGCAGGCCACGTCGCAGGTCCAGCGCTGCAAAGAGAGCCTCGAGAAAGCTCGGGCCCGCGAGGCCGAGGCGATCAGGGTCCTCGGTCGCAGCCGAGCTCAGTCGGAAAGTAGCGGCCAAGGCCACGGCCCGCGAGGTCGGCGTGGCTGAAAACAGCAGTCCCCCCCGTCAGTCAGGAGGTAGCGGCTCCACCATCATCGACTTGCAGTGGGACACTGCCTTCTTCGAGCAGCTCGACACGCTCGAGCGCGCCGAAGCCGAGCGTCTGAAGCTCAAGCAGTTCGAGGCGGATCTGCAGACGGCCAAGTCCAATTTCTCGGCCAAGGCCGAGGAGATCAACCGGTGAAAGGCGTCCGCCACCGATGTCGAAGCAGAAGATCGAGGAAGACAGGCGCGGAATCGGCTGCTGCAGGCGACGCCGGCGGCGGCGGCAACATCCCCGGCGGCCCCCCTGCAGCGGCAACACCCCCGGCAGGCCCGTCCCAGGAGGCGATCGACGCCGAGGTGGGGCGCATCCGCAAGGCGCGCGAGGCTGGCGCAGCCGCCGCGGCGCAGGCAGCAGACGCCCCCGAGGGCGCGCCGCTGGGCGGCGCCGCGGCCGCCGCGAGCGGCGCGGGCCAGCGATCCCGCGGGGTGGCGGCTGAAGGCCTAGCGGCCCCTCCAGCCCAGCCGCCGATGGAGCCGCGGGGCGCAGCTGCGCGGGCCCGGGAGCCCGAGGCGGCAGCCGCCGACGAGGAGGGGGAACAGGGGTGCAGGATGTTATTCGCTAGCACCACCGCTTTGGGGAAGAAGTCTTGCGCGCGCCTCAACTGCAACGAGGTCGGAGACAAGTGCCAGCGCGCGGGCGCCGCAGAGGCGCGCGCGACGGGGGGCGGGGCTCTTCGCAGCGAGCGGGCGCGCAAGGCGGAGGCGCCCAAGTGGCGCGATCTCGACGGCGGCCCGAGAGGCACGGGCAATGGAAGCCGCTCGCGAGGAGGCAACGGATGGCGGGGAAGCCTTCCTAGCCAGGAACTACAGGCATGTCCAGCGCTTCTGCGAGAAGGCGCGCGACCTGCCCGCCTATTGCGCCGAGGGGGGTGACTCCTTCGACGGGTTTCTGCCCGTTCTGATCCACCGGAAGGGGCGCGCGTTCGCGTCGGTGCTCTTTCTTCTACGGGCGCCCGTTCGTCGCTTTCACAATTGGCAGCGTCGCGGGCGCGGCAGGGTCGGAGCCATCGCGCTGAGCCTGCGGCCCCCCCGGTGCACCATCGGCGATATCAACATATATATATATATATATATATTCACACCATGGTTAACTCTTAGTCTCTGCGCAAGGTAAACGGGCCTATGATGAGGTCGTCAGTGGAGTGCGCGTGCATGGGCGGCTCAGGGAACTCGCGCTTGGATTGTATCATCGCGGGCGCTGCCTGTGCGCCATATGTTAGAAGTGTAGAAGCCGCGTCGCACGTTCCATGGGTGCCTCGCTGTGGACTGCCCATATGTTTGCAGGGGGCAGGTCAGCAATGATTGATGCGTAAGCTCGTTTCAGCACCTCGCTTGCCTCGCGCGGAAAGACCCGACGCGGGCCCCGCGGCGGGCTTCAAGTCCAGCAGGGCCCGCGGCGCCCGCCTCGCCCTGCGCGAGCTCGCGCGCGAGGGGAAAAAAAAGGCCGTTGCGCGGCGAGCTGCGCCATGGCGCCCCGAGGCGGCCTGCTGAGACAGGCAGCGGGGTGGTTTCGAGTAGCGCGGGCGATTTGGGCGCCCTCGCTACGTCCGCGCCTGCCCCCGGCGGGGCGCCGCTCGAGGACGTCGGTGAGTTCTGCTTTGAGCCCGGGGGGGAAGAGGGCCCTTTGGCCCGCGGGTTTAATTTTCAGCCCGCGGCGCGGGGCGAGAGCCCCGCTCTGATCTCGCGCCCCGCGCCCAGGTCTGGACTCGCAGATGTCCAACTGGGCCCCGGGCGGGAGAATCATGAAACCTGCGGGGGGATTGTCAGTATTTCGCCAGATAATTCACACGCAATTCCACCTGCAGGCTCGGCGGGGGAGAGTTGGGCCCAACCCGGCGATGCTCCCGAGGTTGACGCCAGCGGAGCTGGTCAAGGCACTTCCCACTCCTCTGCCGCTGCTGCTGCCTCTCCGTCTTTCCCCATCCCTGCTTCTACTTGGCCCGCGGTTTCGGCCCAAGCCGGTTGGCTTCAACATTATCTTAGCGAAGTTTTGCCTGCAGTGCGTCATTTGCTTGCATATCTGATCGGCCAGCAACGCGCCCAGCCGATTTGCAATGGATATGGCGCCTGGATCGAGGCTGCAGAGCGGGCGACCTGCTGCGCATCACATGCAGGGCCCACCTCGGCAGTCGCGTGCTCGCGGATTTCAGCTGATCGTTGCCCCCGCGCGCCAGGCCGCGCGCCTGCGCGTGCAGCCGCTGCGCGACGCGGCGACAAGCTGGCGGTCCAGCGCTCGTTCGTTGATGCAGAAGCTCCTTCGACACCGCCGCGGGGGGAATGGGCCGGGTCAGACTCAGCAACTCTGCGCGGCAGCGGCGCGGATTGGCGGCGGCGCTCCCGAGGGCGCGCGCGGCGTTAAGTTGGGCAGCTTCGACGCTTGGGCGGAGTCGCAGCGCGATCTGTCAGCTTTGGAGCACGCGAGCGTTGATCGTTTCAAGGTCTTGGAAGCCTGGGCTTTAAGAGGGGCTCGATTGGCGGGGCCCCGGGCTGCCGCGGCTTCCTTCAAGGAGCTTCAAGAGTGGATTGCTTCAACGCCAGCTGTAGGGATTGTTCACGGGAGCTTGAAGGGCCCTCAGCCAGTCGCCGACGATGCGCATCCGGGTCAATGTTTTGTTCACCCGCTGGGCAATATCATCTTGAAGGTGCAGAAATATCACAAATTCTGACGTTCCGATTCTTTATATGTCAGCGCGGTCGAAGACATTTGTAGTTTGATTCGAGAGCATGCAGTAATCGAGCCGCTGTCTCCCATTAACGCGGGCGGGTTGCGCGCTGCTCTTTCCAAGATGAAGAGCACGTCTGGCTTGGGGATTGACCAGGTGCCCCCAGTTGACGTGGAGGGGCCCCCCGACGCGGCGCTCGAGGAGCTCTGCCAGCTCTACCAGATGGTTGAAGAAGGATTGTCGTGGCCCTCGCAGGTCGCGGCAGTGATCGGCCGTCTTCTTGGCAAAGGAAAGGGGAACAGCGGCGACCGAATTCTAGGTATATTGTCGATGTTCTGTCGGATCTGTCCGATGCGTCGCGAACATGCGATGCGGCAGTGGGCAGCCGAGCAGGGGGTGAGTGGGGCGCTGCGGCGGCCAACAACAGCACGCCGCGCGAGGCCTTCGCGCGTGCTATCGACGACGAGGTGGCGAGCATGATGGCCCTGCCACGCGGGCGCTCCTTGGCCGATGCCGAGTCTTTCTACGACAGCATCGGGTTCGAGCCCCTCGCCAAGGGGGGCGTCGAGCTCGGCTTTCCCCCAATTGTTCTATGCCTCGAGCTGCAGCGTTGCATGTGTCCGCGGACGCTTGAACGCTCGTGGATGGACGACCTCTCTTTGAGGGTGTCGGGTTCGCGAAGGCACGCGGGGACCACCTAGGTCAAGGGCGTTGCGGCGACAGCGCGGTGCGTCGAGCAGCAGCAGTAGAGCCTCTCGCCGAAGAGCGCGGCCACTTGCTCGCATCCTGAGGATTCCCATTTCATCGTGAAGGCTCTCCGGACCGCCTACTTGGGCGTGGGCTTCGGGGGTGGCAAGAGGCAGTTGAGGGAGACGGCGCGCAAGCGGGTGGTGAAGGGGGGCATTCAGCACGACAAGCTGAGGCGCTTCGCTCGAGCGTCGCGGCGGCGCCACCCCCGTCCAGAGCGCTGCCGCCTGCCGGGGCCGCGGCTGCTGCCCGCCCGCGCGCGCTGGGGGCGCGTCGTGCGGCGCACGCCGCTGCTGCCCGGGCGGCCTCGGCTGCGCGCGCGGCCGCTGCCGGCGCGGCCACGCTGGCCATTTGCGAGGCGCGGGCGGCCGCGGCGCGGGCGCCGGAGCGTCTGGCTGCCCTCCGGGCGCGCGTCCTCGCCCGCACCAGCAAGGGCGGCCGCGCCCGGGGACCCGCGGCGGCTGGCTGACCTGGCCGCCGTCCTCCCCCTTTCCTCCTCCTCCTCCTCCTCCTCCCCTCGTCCTCCTCCCCTCCTCCTCCTCCTCCTCGTCCTCCTCCTCCGTCCTCCCTCCTCCTCCTCCTCCTCCTCCTCCTCCTCCTCCTCCTCCTCCTCCTAATTGTGTGCACCGAGCTCTCGCGGGCGGGTTCGCTTCGCTCTGCTGCCCCGAGTGTCTCTCGACGTGAAAAAAGAAAAACATTCCTTTCCACGGCGAAGTTTCAGCGCGCGGGCCCGCGGGCGGCCGCGTGCACGGAGTCCACGGCGGCGGCGCGGTGATCCAGCGGCGCCGCCTTGCAGCTGCTGCAGGCTCCCTGCGCCGAGGGCGCTGCAACGCTGCTGGCCTTGCGCCTTCCCGAAGGCGACCCAGGGCTGGTGTTGTCTAAGCAGCGTCCCGGGCAGTGGTTTCAAGTTTGGCCTTCAGACCCTCTGATCAGGCCAGGGGTCATTCGCGCGCGGCCGCGGATCGTCGAGCAGCTCTCCAGCATGGCTGAAATCGATTGATCACGTCACGTCCGTGGACCAGTTTCTGCGGTCATTACCTACCTTCTGCACGCAGGGTGGAATACGATTTCGGCGACAGAGTGGGATACGACGAGTGACATCTCTCAGGATCGGCAAGCCTGGCATTTCAGTGCAGCCGACTTCTGTGCGATGGACCAGGCCGTCCTTCTCATCTCGGAGTTCGTGGGGTCGCTTGCGAGCAGGCACTGGCGCGCGGCAGCGGGGCATTTCTGCGGCGGGGGGCCCGAGGAGGGGTCCGACCTTCTCAGCCCGGGGAGGTTCTTGGCAGAGTTGCAGCACGTCCATCGTGGCCGCCAGCTCGCCGAGCCTATGGTGGCCATCGCAATGGGCGGGTTCTGGACCAACCAGCGACGATTCGAGATAGGCCTGCGCGACAGCAGCCGGCGCGACAGGTGCGGGCAGCATGATGGGACGCCCTTGCATCGCACATGGCTCTGCAGTTGCAACAGCAGCAGGTGGGCCTTTTCGGACACCAACGACCTCGTGCCCGAAACGATCGCCGAGTCCGAGGCTTTCCCTTGCTTCTGGCTGCGAGGGCTCATTCCGTCGGCGTGGACGAGAGTGACACCGCCGACGGCTGTGGAGCAGTGGCAGTGGCAGACAGGCTGCACGAACGGGGAGCTCGTGGCATGTTGCCTCGGGCGAGGCTCCGAGGACGCTCCGCTGCTCGTGTTCGGCGAAGCGTCGGGCGGCAAGGACGCGCGCGACACTCGTCTTCGGCGTGTCGGTGTCGCAGTCACGGTCGTCGAGACGTTTTCCCCGATCCAGCTGTGCCAGCGCGCGTTGGGGCCGCTGCCTGGGTCGTCACAGACGGTCCCGCGAGGCGAGGTCGCGGCGCTCGAGCTTGTCATCCGCTTCTCCGAGGGGTGGGTCATCTACATCACGGACTGCGACGAGGTCAGCCGAGGCTGGTGTGCTGGGCTGGCCACGCAGCCCGCAGGCGAGCACGCCGACCTGCGGCGGGCAATGGGCGAGTCGTTTCGCCAGCAGGGATTGGCCGCCCGAGTGCACCATCGCGCTGCAGGTGCTGGCGCACCACGACGGGCAGGAGGTGCTGGAGCGGCAGAGCCCGTCGTGGCCCGTGCAGGGCAACACGGCGGTGGACGAGCCGGCAGGCGTTGCGGCCAGCCGCGCGCGCGCGCGCTGCGCCCGAGGAGCGCACGCGGGTGCACGTCGTCGAGGGAAGAGCGGCCCTTGTTCGGCGCAGTGCATTCGAAGTGCTGCAGGCCGAAGGTCTTGCCAAGGAGGACCAGGCCCGCCAGGCCAGTGTCCCTCCGCCTCCGACTCCTCCTCCTTGTCCTCCTCCTCCTGCCTTTCTTACTCTTGCACGCTTCGCGACCCCGCACGTCCTGACTGAGGGTGGGCGCTCGTGTCGCATTTGTAGGGCGTCTAGTTCGAAAGCTGAGTTGCGGGTCTGGCTAACAAGTGATTGTGTGCCTTTAGAGGCTGTCGACGGTAGGGTGTTTCGGTTCCCTCGTGGGCACGTCGCTGGAGGTTTGGCCCACCCTTCACAAGCGCTCGGATGGTGGTTCTGTCGCACATGTGGCTATTTCGGGCAAGACCAGCTCAGAGGTCTAGCGCAACCATGCGTGTTACCCATATCGAAGACGCGCCGCGAGTATCATGATACAATTTCTCGCGGTGGGTTTCCCAAAACCTGAGCTCAGCCTTTAAGTCACTCTTGTGATTGTGGAAATCCTGGAAATCCTCCTCATCCTCCTCCTCTCCCTCCCTCCCTCCCTCCCTCCCCTCCTCCTCCTCCTCCTCCTCCTCCTCCTCTTCCTTTTCCCCCTCCTCCTCCATCTCCCCCTCCCCCTCCCCCTCCTCCACCTCCTCCTCCTCGTCGAGTCGCCGGCTCCTGCATCGCGCGGGCTCGTCGCCCCGCCGCCGCCGCAGCTGCCATGGCGCCCGCCCCGCTCCCGGTGCGGAGCCCTCCCGCTGCCTGCGACACTGACGGCGCGGCCTCTCCAGGGGGCGGCAGCCAGGGCGTGTGGGCCGCCATCGAGGAGCAGCTCGAGGATCGGCACGTGCGGGAGGGTGGCCCAGACCTCCGACGGGGCGATCTGCTCGGTGCACGCGGTCTTCCTCCATCTCGGGGCCCGCCAAGGGGGCCCCTGTGGGCCATCAAAGAGTGGATCCGTTACAAAGAAGTGCCTCCAGAGAAAGGGCCGGCACCTCCCAGGGCCGCGCATTCCACAATTCTTGGTTTTTTGAGCAACAAACACGTCGGGTGTCGGACGAGAGCTGGCAGCAGGTCCTGCCCATCCTGAGCAGGACTCGCTGTCGGTGCCGCTGCGGAGACGTTGCCCACTTGAGATCAGAAGTCGCCCACCCAACAGCGGCCGCTGCGGTTCTGGACGGCCTCGACTGCCAAACATCGTGCCCATTCTTGCGGCGGCGAGCGAGGGGGGAAGTGAGAAGGAGAAGGCCTTTTCAGAAGGCTCGGAAGTCCCTGGGCCTTCTGAGAAGTTTTCTGGGCCTTCCTTTTCACTTCCCTCCCTCGCCCGCCGTTAATGTTTGCCCGTGCCCGCTTCGGGTGTGCTGCGAGGACGAGCTGGAGGAAGGAGGAAGAGGTGGAGAAGGAGGATGAGGAGAGGGGGGAGGAGGAGAAGGAGGAGGAGAAGGAGGAGAAAGAGAGGATGAGAGAGGAGAGGGGGAGGAGGGAAGGAGGAGGAGGAGGAGGAAGAGGAGAGGAGGAGGGGGATGAGAGGAGGAGAGGGAGGAGGATGAGGAGGAGGAGGAGGGAGGAGGGCGGGGGGTTGGTAGGGAGAGATGGGTAGTTTTGTAGGGAGAGGGGGGTGGAGGAGGGGCGGGGGGGGGGAAGGGGGGGGAGGGGGGGGGGTTGGTAGAGGAGTGGGGGAGGTGGGGGGGACGGGACGCGAGGGAGGAGGAGGAGGACCGCGAGGACGAGCTGCACAAGGCCCACGCCACCAGGGAGCACGTGGAGCTCCTGGCCACGGCCGAGGCCGCCGCGCTGCGCCGGCGCTCCGGGCGCGCCAGCGGGTGCCCGCCCGCCTCGTGCGGGCAGGGGCAGCGCAGCCTGTGCCTGCACCTCCTGGGCAGGATGACGGCGCAGCTGGTGGGGAAACTGGAGGGTTTCTCCGAAGGGCTTAGGCGACCCGTCCTCCTCCTCCTCCTCCTCCTCGTCCTCCTTCTCCTCCACCTCCTCCTCCTTCTCCTCCTCCTCCTCCGCCCTCGCAGGCACGCCTCGCCATACACAATACTATTTCAACGGCCTCCTCCATCTCCTCCTCCCCCTCCCCCTCCTCCACCTCCTCCTCCTCTTCCTCTTCCTCCTCGGGTCGCCTACGGCCCCGGGGGAAACCGTGCAGGGGAAACTAGAATCGAAAAAGAAACAACGCCATAAACATAAACTGTTGGCGCTCCGCGCGGATTTCTTGGATTGGCGCTTGGGGCCCCCTGGCGGCGCCTCCGGCGCCGCCCCTGGCGCGCTCTGCGCGCCGGGGAGGGGGGTCCAGAGCGGATCCAAGGAATCCGCGCGGAGGGCCAACAGTTTGGGTTGGTGTAGTCGTTCTGTTTGTTTCGTTGTTGTTTGTTTGTTTTCTTATACGTATGATTATTCGTAGTATTATTAATAATATTATTATCCGTATATCATTATTACTATTCTTACGATTAGTATCAGAATTAATATTAGTATTCGTATTATTAGAATTAGAATTCGTATTAGTATTATTGTAAGTAGTATTATCCTTCTTACTCTTCTATGAAAGGCACGATGCAGTGGAGGCCCATGCCAAGAAACACCCTGTTTTTCTTCAGGGCGCCCCGGGTTTTTGGGTTTCGATGGTTTTGCTATGGGAAGCGTGACGTTCCCACCAAGAATCAATGGACGTGCTGGGGTCTCTGGGGTCTCAGGGTTGGGTTTCTTGTGGAAGGTTTCTTGTGGACTGGCCGCCACTGTGATTACCGCTACTCCCCGGACCTCTCCTGGGGTGCGTTTTGGCCAGGATTTCGAGGCGCATCCAGCGGTGGCAACGAGGGCCTCCCAGGAGTCCAAAAAGGGGGAAGCCGTGCTAGGGTAGCAGTATGGGTACCTTTTCCTCTTCCGAGTTGGGCCAGAGCTCGCTGCAGTGCTACTTCCAGGCGGTGAGCGTGCTCGACGACAGCTTCGTGGCAGTCGCGGGCGAGCGGCCCCCCGAGGAGAACCACCGCGTCCTCGCCCGCGCCGCGGCCGCGTGGCTCGTGGCCGCGAAGTGCGAGGGGCACCTCGTCGAGGGCACAGGCCAGGCGATGCAGGTGGTGACGCTGTGCGCCTCGCGGCTCTCCGAGGACACGGGCGGCCCCCCCCATCTTCGGAAATGCCGCGAAGACGGGACGAGATGCCCCTTCCTCTTCCTCCTCCTCCCCCTTCCCCTCTATCTCCTCCTCCTCCGCCTCCTCCTCTTCCTCCTCCTCCTTCTCCTCCTCCTCCTCTTTCCACTCCTCCTCCTTC